GAATCAGTGAGAGAACACAAACACAAGATGCTTCTCCATTAACACAAATGAGAAACTGTCTCACTGTGCCCGTTCAATCAAAGCATTGCCCACAAAGCAGTGGTGTTTGCTTCTCTCATGTAAATTTTGCTGCAGCTTTCAAGCACCATGATTGCAACTTTGAAATCTCTGTTTAACTGTGTTGTTTGCCATTCCTCTTCCTGGTGTTATTGACTGAAGAGGTGTTTCCATGCAATTAGGGTGCTCACCCTGTAAAATCAGCCTGCCCCTCTTTCCTCCATGGGGTAGATGAGTTTCTACCCCAACCCAGCTGGGCCTGGTCACCCACACAAAATCGCTTTCCTGCAATGGTAAAAAGGGTGGAAATGTGTTTGGAGSGGTAAACACAGAGGAAACTTTTTAACTGAAGACAATCATTGACACACRCACACAACCCACAACATTTAAATCAAATTTTAGGACTTCAATTACTTGCAAYTACTGAGATTTCCAAGGCAATTTACAAAAGCCAAGGTCCAAATCACCATTTATGTTTCTAGAGAGTTAGACATCCAGCCTCCACAATCTGAAAAGAAGTTTTTATTACAGTGGGGTTTGTGTGAGGTACTGTGCACTTACCTTCTGGTATTCCAGATGTGGAATTTAGCAAATGTATGTAGGCAGAAGAGGTTTGATCAACATGAAGCTGGAGCTAAAACTGAATTTATGTCACTGCGGAGTCTATGCCTGGTGTCTGACTTRGCACAAGAGCTGAGAAACAAGAGTGGGGATTATTTTACCTAAATGTGGGTGTCTGCAGTGGGAATGTGCACACCTGACCCTGGGTTCCCACTGGATCAGGAGCCACAGCTCATCTTAGATGCCCAAGGGGGCTGCCATGACCAGCTCAGGCAGAGAGCTGAGAAGAGAAATGTAAAATTCAAAGGGACAAACCCTGTGCCAAGAGCTGAGTAGATTCTTCCTGGCCACCAGCCCTTTTCCCAGGACCTTCTCATTCTTTATCATGAGGTTACAGCAGGTTGTCCAGAGAAGCTGTGGCTGCCCCATCCCTGGGAGTGTTCAGCCTGGATAGAGCTCTGAACAGTCTGGTCTAGTGGGAGGTGTCCCTCCCACAGCAGAGGATGAGATCAGAGGATCTTTGATGTCCCTTCCAACCCAAACCATTCTGTGGCTCTATGACACGACCATGAAGGCTGAGCTGTGCACCATGAGCAGATGATGGAACACTCAGAGCTCAGAAACTTCTCCATGGCTTTGGGCAAAATGCTCCACTCAAGCTCATTAGCACTACAACCACATGTTGCCTGCCCAGATGCCTCTGCCAGGGAAGCTTCCTGCTCRTTCCAGGTCCTGGGCAAGGAAGGGCAGAGAAGAGCTTTGCAGTGTTCACAGTGGGGCCCTCCATGCCTGTTYCTGGTGTGTTGTAGCCCCTAATTCATCTTCCATGCACATTCTTGCAGAGTGAGCACTCATGTTCTGCTGCCTACACAAACAGGCTTGTTTGGTAGCTCCTGGAGGGGAAAACTATTTCTGCTATGTGCTCCCTGACATGTCTTCCCACAGCCTGGATCTGTCTGGTTGCTGTAGCCATGAAGTTGTCCTCCTATCACCATTTACACATTGCTTCAGGCTGTTTGCACATTGCTTTTTAATTTACTGGGCTCTGYTCATGCAACTCAGCCCCTCAAACAGACAAAAGCATTAGAACACGGTATCAGTGACTCTGGCTGCAGCAGTGAGGTTTGATGCSATTTTACTTGTGTCTTGTCCAGCAGCTTAAGCCACTATCTGTTACTAACAGGTTAATATTTTAAAGGAATTTAAAGGGACAATTTAAAGAGAATTTAAAAATAAATTTAAAGTGAAATGTATCTTAGCCCAGAAATTGTTTACAGATGGATGAGAAATTAATAACTCCTTTCTATCTCTAACATACTCTCTGTGCTGAGTTGATTSTTTAATTCCCAGAGCAGTTAAGTGGGAATCCATCACAAGTTCCTCAGTCTGTCCCAGTTCCTTCATTGCAATGCTCTCCCAGAGAAAATACACAGCTCCAGGTAAGACAGGGAGAAATTTCTTCCCCTTTATCAGTAACATTACAAACTTGCTCTGGCAAGGATGTAAACTGGCAAAAAGAGTGTGGTACTGTAGAAAAAAAAGGGTTTGTGGTTGAGGAGGAGGCAGAATCCAGAGAGATCAGGATGACACAATCTCCCTTCTCTGCCTCTTGGCAGGAGGAAGAGAACTCCTCATCTGTAACCAAAACCACACTTCTGTCCCTCTGACCAGCACTTGTGAGTGRCTACAAGCCCAGGCTGGGACTCAGAGCAGCAGAAAGGGTGGATCCCTTCCCAGTTTTCCATAGTTCARTGCTGCCTGTTACTGTAAAAGGAGCTCTCCTGCCAGCTGGGAGATAGAGAAACAAGCACAGGTCTCCATAAACAGCGCTGTATTTGACAGTGCTGGGTGGAGATAAAGAGCCTGAGCCTCTCATGGGCAGGACATGGCAGCATTCTGGAAAGAACTTCTGAGGGAAAAGATGCTCCTGCCAGTGCCACTGCCAAAACCAGCTTTGCTTTAGTGGTCCCAGCACAGTCCAGTTTGGCAAAATAATGGAATCACAGATTCCTAGAATGGTTTGGGTTGGAGGYAACCTTCAAACTGATCCTGTTCCAGGGACACCTTCCACTGGCCAGGCTGCTCAAAGCAGCAGCAGCAGCAGCAGCACAGGCTGGCATGTTCATGACCAGTCCCCCAGCCTGGCTGGGACTGACTGAGCTGCTCCCAAWCCACAGCTGGCACTAAGGATAATCTCTTTTTGAGTGGCAGCCACTGTCCTTTAGGGGCAAACACCCTCACAAAGCACAGAGGAGCAGGRCACTGAGGGGCTGAGCAGAYATTCACTGTCCACACTGGCACACAMATCCCTGACCAGGATCATCCACAGCTCTGTGGGCACTGCCATCAGAGCCACCAGTGCCCTACACCCCAGGGGTGTCCCCAGGTACAGCTGCAAGGTCACCTCTGCTCAGCTCAGTCCATCCCAGCCTCCCTGCCTCCCTCCTCTAGGCCACGAGTTATTTGAAGTAAACTCTCCATAATGTTTGGTTTCAGCTCCACGTTCAGCTCTGCACAAAGACCATGTCCAGTATTCTCCCTGAGTTAGCAGATGTTCTGAATTTGGCACGGAAATGTGTTACTCACAGCTAAAGAGAATTCATATGATTAATGATTAATGCTGCTATCTGAATAATTACCTCATTCAGCCAGCTTTTCTTCTGGTTTTGCAAGAAAATGTGCATGAAAAATGGGGACAATACCCTTTTTCTGTGTTAGTATATAAGTGGAAAAATATTTATTCTAAAAAGAAGAAAGCAAGTTTGAGAAAACAAATAACTGTCAAGTTTTCACAGTGCTTGTGCACACATGTTCTCTGCAACATTTATSCAGGACCAGAGTCCCTCCCCAAATCCATTAGAGACCTGCTGCTTAAGGAAACTCTTCCTCTTGGAGAATGAGCATTGTTATATGCATTGAAAAATCTAAAGTTTCAGGTGTAGATTATCTGAGCTGATAACCAGGCACACAATATTAAATTTCTATAAGCAGTTTCTAGACAAAAGCCCCCTTCAGCCAACTCGGTGATAAGGTTTCCTGTGTATATGTGCATGCACATAAGAGAACATTGTTTTAAGGACTTTTTTTTTTTTGTGGAATATATTAATCAATGGAAGTGAAAATACCACTTTTTGAAGGAAAAAAAAAATTATATTTTCAGCCAGTATTTTGGTATTTGGGATTTCTTGCTCATGAACTACCAACATTTTCTGCAGTTACCAGAACATGTAGACAAAATACATTTCAAGAAAATCCGACCTTGCATTTCAGGAAGGCAATACAGCAAACCTGATGCCAGTCTTGTTAGAAAGCCTCCAAAACTGACCCATGGAACTGCCATGTGCAGAAATCTGGCCTAGACAGAATAAAATTTGCTTTGGGCTGTAGTATAAACCTCAGCCAGACGGATATGTACGGTGGCCAAGGGTCAAGACATCTTTTTCAGAGCAGTCATGCTGCTGAAGTCCAAGAGGGCTTTTCTGATGGAATTGGTGAGCACAAGGAGAGCTGGCTGAGGAATGAGAGAATGTCCTGCATTGAGTGGTCAGGTGCTGTTCAGGTGTAAAACATTAGATGTACAATTTGAAAGTGCCACAGAGGAGGCACAACAGGCAGGTTGGGCTCAGGATCAGGGAGTCATGATACAAGAAAGAGAGCCCAGCCTTCAGTGCCAATCAGAAAGGCACGTTAGGAATTCCCAGAAATGGCTTTGAGATCAAAACAGAAAATATCTTTATTCTGCTGAGTGGTTCTTTCCTATCACTTGTGTTCTGGCCAMACAGTTCAAAGAGTTTAAACAAAAATGATTGAGGATGGTGAAAAGCAGTGCCTTGCATGAAAGAGGAATAAACCAGATCTGGAATCCTGACTCTGGAAAAGACAGGACAGAGGGAAAAGAATGTAAGAGATGTATAAGAAAATTGTGAATACTAAGCAGAAGGAACGGTGTAAGGGGCAATTGTTCATCGCTTGCCTAAATACAGAATTTGGAGTTATGTCCTGGGAAGATAATACAGAAATTGGGGGTAACGATGAGGCAGTGTGACTTCATTATGGGGAACAGAGATGTGTTTCAATTGATTAAGGGTGTAACACTCTTTATCCCTGTACTTACATCTTCACTTTGCGAGTGCACACGATCCTCCCCAATCCCCGTTTTTCCCCTCTCCCCAGTGCTGCCCGTCCCGCTCCTGTGGCCAGCCCGGGGCGATGCTCAGCCCGTGTGCCCCATCCCGTGTGTCCCCATGCCGTGTGTCCCATGCCCGTGTGCCCCATCCCGTGCCGGACGAGCCCCGGCGCTGTCCCGCCGCACCCTCCCCGCCCCGCCGGGCGGTGTCTCGGCTCCCGGCCCTCCTTTAAGCCGCGGTTCGTGATGTCACAGCGCTTGGAAGCCGCGGAGCAGCGCAGGGACCCGCAGCGCTGCCGGCGGGACCCGCAGCCCCGGGCCGGGCTCCGAGGCGCAGCATGCAGGAGTTCGTGGCGGGCTTGGTGGGCGGTGAGTGATGCCGTGGGGCGGGTGGGAGCGGCGGAGGGGGCACGGCGGAGGGTAAAATCCCTCCGTGTCACCCACGGTCCGTGCCGGGGCACGGCGGAGTGTCTGCGGGTAAAATCCCTCCGTGTCACCCACGGTCCGTGCCGGGGCACGGCGGAGTGTCTGCGGGTAAAATCCTCCGTGTCACCCACGGTCCGTGCCTCCGCCCGGCGGCTCCCACGGTTTGCTTTGCTTTGGCTCACAAGTGCGGTCTAATCCCACTTGCACGGGGGGGATACTTACATTTCAGTCTCAGAAAGTGTGATGCTGATGTGCGGGGCGGACTTGCAAAGGTGCCCGCACGCCCCCAGCCCCCGCGGCTCTCCTGTCCTTGTCCCCGGGCTGGAAGCGCTGCCCGGCTCGGAGGGCTCGCCCTCCGTGTCCCCATCCCCGGGGGAGGCTCTGACCCCGCTGTCCCATCACGGCCACCGGGCTAATGGGCAGGGCAGGGATTGATCCTGTCGGGAATTCTGATGGCAAACACCGGGAAACAGAAAAAAAAGGAAACCAAACGATCCATAGAGGCAGCAGTGATGGGACAAGGTTTACGGAACTGAGAAATGCCCACTGGCTTTGCCAGCTGACAGGGTGACCAGATCCACTGCCCCAGGGGCTGCAGCCGGACAGAAGGTTCACTGCAGCACCAGACACCACAGAGCAAACCTCTGCCCAGGTGACCCTTCAGACCTGACACAGGAGAGGGGTGTGAGGGGGTTCACGGGTGTCCTGCAAGGAGAGGTTATTAAGTCAGCTGGCTAAAAACCCAAAACTTCTGTCAAAAGTTTGCACGAGCACTGATTTTCTGATCTCTGTAGCGTGTGGTTGCTCTCTGTGCCCAACTGCCCTGTTGTAGCACATCCCCAGCAATAGGACAGGACGTCCCAGGAGGTGAACAGCCACCAGCGCTCAGCAGCAGTGGCAGCTGAGAGTTTTCATGTATAGCATTAGATCATGGGTGRTCTCAAGTCCAGGAGGAGAGGGGACATTTTTTAGCACATTTTCAGTAGAGTCACAATGAGTCAACGAAGGACATTATGCCCTTGTCAGTACTAACCCACTATGAGGGAGAAATAACATGTATTCCAAACCTGCGGGCACTGGTTTGCACGGAGACTTGCTGGTGAGGAAGCATCACAAATTACCCACCATCTCCACAAACCCCAAAAACTGCCGGTGTTTGCAACAAACACACAAACCCATATCTTGGCTATGGCACACAGATTGTTCCATTCACCTGGAGAARAGGGAAACCAAACTGTGCTCTGTCCTGCCACAAGAGCTGCTGGCAGTGAGTGTTGGGAGAAGGTGGGTGGATGGTGAGAGAGAATGGACCAGCTTCTTCCCATGGGGAGAACCATGGGGAATAACGTGGGATGGCACTGTAAAAATCCATACAGAGCAGGATCCTCTGTATGTGAATCCTSTCTGACAGGTATCTCTATAAACTGCTCTAAAAAGAGAAAAGGATGAGGAGGTCCCATTAGCAGTCAGCTCTAGGACATCTCTTTCTGAGCCAGGAGGAAAAATTTCCTTGTTTGTAACAGGAATCTCACCAGTCTGARGCTAAAWATTTGTGTGARCTAWCAGGGGAGTGGTCAAGGACAGGACRTAYAAGCATGATTCTCCTTYTCTGGTGCCCTTGAGATGTAAAGCTGAAGGAACCAGGAGGGCGTGCACAGAAAAGTGTTCAAGCTCAGCTTTTATTTGTTGTCAGGGACAGGGCACTACGCTGCTCATTGCTCTGGCCAGAACTGTTCCTATGGAAATCTCTTCTCTCCTCTAAACCCATTGCATCCTGTCCTGCCACAAAAGCTTCTTCAATGTTTTGCATAATGCTCTGCTTTCATCCCCAGGAGTTGCCAGCGTGGTTGTGGGCCATCCCCTGGACACGGTCAAGGTAAAACACTGTGAGCTGTGTTCACATGTCCCCACCCAACTCCCACCATTCAGACCTTCTCTCTACGTGATGCTTAAAGGACTTTCACTTATCCCAAAAGGGRATTTGGAATGTTTTCACAGACTTTCTTCCTCTCCAATGCTCATTTGGAATGAGAAACTAAAAGAAGTGATTGATATGTGCGAGTTCCTCTGTGGAGAATTAATGCTGAAAATTAACCTGGCTTTACTTGATGTGTGGTTCACTGAACAGTTCTGCCAATGTTTTATTGAACTTTGCCACAGACTAGTATTCAAAGGGCAATGAGGGAACTCTATTTGTTTTGCTGCAGGCACATTTTTATGTGTTTCCCTAGTGCTGGCAACGTTGGGAGGGCAGAGTGCTGAAATTGCTATCCCAGGGCTGTGACACACAGTATTTATGATTCCTGCAAGATAATTATTCCTCCAACTGAAGGATTTAGAAAAGTAAGAAGGTATTTGTCAGCATGATGCCGACAAGCCCATGCACACACCAATACATCCTGACTCAACCAAGCTGACCATCCCTACTGATGCAGAGATAGAGAGGAGGATCCTATTATTTTTTTTTTTTTTTTGTACAGACATTTCTGTGCAGCTTTCCCCACTGCAGCTTCTCTGCCCTTGCTGGGGTTATTTAGCCTGAAGAATAGAAGGCTACAAACAAATTATATTTAGCCTTCCTGTGCTTGAAGGGGGCCTAAAATAAAGAGAGTTTTTAGCAGAGCCCATTGTGATAGGACAAGGGGTAGTGCTTTTAAATGGAAAAAGAATAAGTTTAGATTAGATATAAGGMAGTCTTACACAAAAAAGGTGGTAAAACACTGGCACAGGCTGGCCAGAGAGGTGGGAGGGGATGCCCCATCCCTCGAAACATTCAAAAGCAGGATGGATGGGGCTCTGAGCAATCTGCTCTAGTTGACCTAGACAACTTAAATACCTTCATCAACTCGAGCTATTCTATGATTCTGTGACTCTGTGTTCCCTGCTCTGGTTCAAGCCCAGTTCTGCCCAAAAGCCACTGGTCCTGTTTGCACCTTAAAGATCTTTGGGGTGATGACGAGAAGGCAGGGCTCACAGCACATCCCTCTCCAGCCATCCCAGCCCAACCATCCCCTCGCACACAGCAGCCTCTCCTGGCACCAGGAAATGCCTGCCCAGCCCYATCCTTTCTGAGCTGCTAAAGCAACACCAGCCCCAAGGGAACCCTGTGCAAAGGTGGGTGCTGACCCCATGCAGGAGGTGCCACAAGGCTGCCCACACCCCCAGCCACGGGCAGGGCACGGGCAAGGCTCTGCCCAGCAYTGCCAAGGCAATTCCCATCTCAGGCTGGTGGTCATGGCATCACTGCCAGCTTTGGGGGAGTTTGGCAATGAGAATCCTGCTGGGAAACTTCGAGTTTCTGGATGCCAAGAGAGATCAAGCCCATCCTTCAGTGCTTTTAAAAGCAACTGTCAGGCAGCCCCTCGATTGCTCTCAGCTTTGGGCAAGGCTTGAGAATACCAAGTAGGCAGACTTGTTATCTTTCCAAATTTAGGAGCAGGGAAGWGGAAAAGGGTTTTTACACAGCACTAGGCCAGCAAAGGGGCTGCTCAGCAGCATCTGCAGCCTCCAGGGGTTTGGGGGCCCTTCCCCATCTGGGTAGGAGGCAGGACTGAATGTGAGGCTCCATGGGGTAAATGGTATCTGTAYCACAGTTCCCATCAAGCAGGCATCCTCCTTCATCCACCTCCTCCTATCACTGCAGCTTCCATCAAACCCCAGCTGCTTTTCCCTACGTCCTTGCAAAACTCTGAAAGTTGTGCTTTTGTTCACTTTTCATCCTTCCCTGTGCATTCATTTCCCCAGAACTTTCTCCAGCTTCTGGGTGTCACCCAAGAGCCCTATGTAATCAAAACATAACAAAAAAAGAGAATTTTCCAGAGGAATATCCRTACTGGTAGCAGTTGACTTTGTTACAGATGCCAGGGGGGATTYCAGTGCTGGGTGTTAACAGATTAGCTAAGGGACAAGTGTACGAGTACCGGATTGTGAGAACACTCCATTGCCCTCAGTTACACAAAAAATATATTAACTTGAACCTCKAAATACCTGGTTACTGTGTAAAAGAAAAGGTCCAAGCCCATGGAGACAAACTGGAAATGTCTGGGCTCAGATGAAGCCAGGAAGGAACTCAGGCTGGGCACTGGGGTCACCTTGACCTGGGTCACTCGTGGTGCAGCTCCCCCTGGTCCCCCCAGCCCTGTTATCCCCAGGGTGAGCACCCATGGCCTGAGTGTGCCCATGGCAGCATCTTCCTGTGCCAGCTTGTTCTGAGGGCTCAGTAAATATTCTGCTTTTGCTGCTGCCGTGTCCTCTTGCCAGGCCTGGAGCGGAGTGCGGATGCTCCATGTGTGCAAACAACTGCACAGAGAAACCCTAGGGTGAGGGGGGAGCTTGGGGTGGGGGGTGAACCCAGACTTCAGTCCCTCCTGCTCCTGCCAAGGTCCCACCACASCACTGGCAACCTCTCACAGGGCCAAATGATTGTGCCATCCAACCTGCTGCTTGCCATCCCAAAGCTCCCACCAGTCATGAACTCTGGAGGACACRCATTCTTTGGGCTTCAAATTCACAAATAATTTCCTGCTTCACCGTGGTGTAACTCAGGGCTGAGGCAGCAGAGAAGATTGGACAGTGTCCCTGCAGACCCCATTGCTAGCAGCAATGCTGATGGATATGGTCAGAAATGCTGTCCCCATTCCCTATAAACATTCCTGATGGAGCACGAGTGAGTGTCTTACTATAACAAATGAGCTCTGGCCTCAGGCACAGATGAAGCCCCAAGTGCTGTGCAGTGAACAGTGTTTCCATTTCCCTGCACACCTCTAAGCCCAAAACATCCATTCCTTGTTGAGATGTTTCTAATGCAACCTTGTGAACAGCTTGAATGAAAGATGGTCTAAATATAAACATATGAGAAAAGGAAGAGATGCTGAATCTTACAGGCTTTGGCGTGACTTACATGTCATTTCATACATCTGTTGGRAGGTGTATCAACAAATTGCCTCCCAGAAATAAAATGTCTTTTTTTGGAAATTAYGTGAGGATGTGTTTTTGAGTGAAGCGTGGAGAATTTCTGAGATGGTGCTGAATTATTTTGGCTCCATTTAGTATCTCTGTGTCYCAAAATCCACCTTGGAGCAGAAGGGCCCCAGAAGTCTCCCAGGCGAGCTCAACTCTCCTCTCCTCAGCAACACATCCCAGCCTTCCCTGAGAGTCTCCAAATGCAGAAGACAACATCACTCTCCAATTTCCACCATAAATCAGGCCCTTGCCAGTGACAGCCCTGCAGAGCAGAGCCTGCTGTGCTGGGTCTGTGGCTGGTTCAGACTGGAGAGCAATTTGACAGTCATCTATTCCAGATGTTGCAGAGAGCTTCAGGCTGTGAGATCCCACTTAGCCTTGCTTCTGGCAAAGTTCAACRGGGTGGATGCACATATATCTTATTTTATTGCTCAGGTCTCTTTACGACTGAGGAAGGACTTGCTCTCAAAGCAAAGTACACGTTGTTTATGTAGCCTGAGCCTTCACTGGGCTGGAAGAATGGGATTTTAATCGTGTTTTACAAATGTCTTTTGCAGACTCGGTTGCAAGCTGGACAAGGATAYGGAAATACACTCAAGTGTGTTCTCACTGTGTACAGAAATGAGTCTGTAAGTAYTTCATCTCACTTTAAATGGGCTGGTAGAAACTGAAAGTCAATAAATAGATAAATATATAAAGCAATTGTACAAAATGCTGTTGACACCAACAGTTATATAAACATCAATAAAGTTGATGCAATTGAACCTGCAAATCCGTACAGCCCTCTCTTGCTTAACCCTAAGGTAACCCTCTTGGTGACTCCTGTAGGGAGCAGACAGGTCCCTTCATGGGATGATGAGTGTCTGCACACGGTTGGGTGTTGCAGCCACAGTGACTCTTTTGCCTGATCCTGCTGGCAAAGGTGTCTCAGAGGGATTTTGCTGACTTCGGTGAAGCCAGAACAGACGCTGTCTGTAAGAGGAACTTCTATGTGGGYTCCTGTGTTTTCAACCATATCCTGTACTCTGCACAATCTTTATAACCCTTTAGCAGCATGCACCAATTTCCTTGCTCAGCATGTGCAAACAGTTGGATCCAGGAGACATCTGCTACTCGGATTTGCATTTCATCCCTGACTATGGCAGGGGATCAGAACGAGATGACTCTCARAGCCCTTTCCAACCCAAACCATGCTGTGACTCTGGGGTTTATAACCCAACAGACAARCAGGGCTTTACACCGCTCAGCCTTGTTTGATCTCCTGAGCCCTGCTGCCTCTCCTTGCCTAGGTGTCCGGCTTCTTCAAGGGCATGTCCTTCCCTCTGGCCAGCGTGGGCATCTACAGCTCGGTGGTGTTTGGGGTGTACAGCAAAACGCAGCGTCTCGTCACTCAGCTGCGCCTCGGGGACCCGGGCGCCGCGCCCTCGCACGCCGACATGACCGTGGCCAGCGTGGTGGCAGGGCTCACCTCCGTGGCCATCGGCACGCCYGTGGAACTGGTCAAGATAAGGCTGCAGATGCAAACACAGCGCTACGACAAAGGTAGGGAGCAAGAGTTTGTTCTGCCCGTCTCTAGGCCTGGCTTTCTGCTGCCTTGTGCTGCTGCAGTTGGGATAAAAATTCCCCCTTCTGCCTGAGGATGGACCTCACCCTGCTCAGCTCAAGGGGAGGGTTTTTATCAATGATGTTTCCAGCCAGTTGAGATCTATGAGGAGCATGAGGCAGGTCTGCTCAAGATCAGAAGCTGCAGGAACTGTGAGTCCCTGGGCTGTCGGGTCCCCTGCAGATTCCAGCAGCATCACAGCTCCCCATTTCCCTCTGCATGCTTTCAGTCCCACATATCTTTGCCCATAAACCTCTCTCTGTTTTTCCAGCTTATCCTGTTCAAAAAGAAAAGTTTCCCATTTATGTTTAAAAACCACTGACTAATTCCATGCAGGGTGCCAGGTGGCGTAGGTGGGGGCACGATGGGTCAGGAGGGGACACCAGCAGGGTGGCAGTGGGTGGCTGTTCCCTGTCCACAAACTRCAGGCAGAAGGAGCTGCCCTGGCTCTGGACAGCAGCTGAATTCCACTGCAGGCTGCCAGCAGGGAGCACACCCCACCAGAGCACATGCACGGATGAACGAAGACATGGTGATGCTTAAAAGCTGAATTGCTTGGATTTCAGCATTTCACAATTTTTCACAATTACAGTCATGGTGTTTAACTGTCAAACGCTGGCATTTTTGTGCTGCTTTGATAAAACAATATTATTTTCGTTTTTAAAGCCTCCATACAGCTTAGCAACCGAATGCCTTTTACACAAACAACTTGGGAAGGGCCAGATTCTGAAGATGTCAAGGCTTTCAAAGTTATCTTGGCATAACTTGAAGTTAAAATTCATGAAAATTTGGCACATAGCCTTAAACTTATTTGGAAATTTCACTGGGCACACATGTCTTGGGAGGTATGCCACACATCTAAGGAAAATCTGTCTTGAAGTATCTAAATGTCTCCTGAAATTGGACCTAAATACTCTCTCCAAAAACTTTTTTCCCATGCTATAAGTTGACCTCAGCAGMAGAAAATGGATGGCAGCAACTCGTAATTGATGGCAGCAGTCTTTGGAGAGGAGTTCTGTGGTAATATATCTCTTCTAAGAGTTGTATATTTGTTTGGTTTTTTTCTAGGAAGCGTTAAACTAAAATCCACAGCTCCTGGATCTCCTGTGTACCGAGGCCCAATTCACTGCTTTAGGACMATCCTCCAGAAAGAGGGGATAGCAGGAGTGTACCGAGGCACAGTAGCAATGCTCCTGAGGGATGTTCCTGGGTACTACACCTATTTCATCCCTTACACAATGTTCTGTGACTGGATAACTCCTGATGGCAGCGTTTCTCCTAACGCCTTCTCTATCTGGATGGCAGGGGGTGTAGCAGGTAAGCACCTTACTTCCTCACAGCACTGCAAAACGAGGACAGGAAGGTTCTCAGGGTGATTACGAGGGTGACTCAAGGGCCACCAGATCCTCCTGAATGCCAGGAGAGAGGACACAGCACTGAGCGACCTTCCTCCCCCAGGGCCAGGCTCCCTGGCACCACAGCTGCACTTTATGACTTGACAAACTTTATGGAAGTCGTGTTATCAGACCTTCCCTGGGCTCAATGTCAGCGAGGAGGAGAAGAGCCAGCAGCTTCATCTCCCCGGATGCCCCRGGGCAGCCTGGCAATCACACACCAGGGGTACACGGCAGCCAAGATGCCTCCAGAGGAGGACTTCAACCTGTTGGCTGCCCACCAGGAGGGTGTGCACCTACCCACACCTYGCAGAAGCCAAGTTGACTGACTGTTCCTGATCTTTTTTCCATGTACACCTGTCAGTAAGACTGGCATGTGTGTCCCCACCACAGGAAATGTCGCTCTTATCCCCAATCCCCACTTCTTGGCCATTTTTAAACTGCAGATCCATAAAGGCATGTCGATCCTTGTATTGATAACAAAATGCCTTCTCCATTTCTCCTCAAATAAAGAGGCTCTTGGTGCACCTGGACAGATTTTCTAGTGTGCCCCAACACTCCAGCAAACTCTTGTCTGTCCATCCAGGCCGTGGATTGCAGTTGTGTGATCTTTCCAGAGCCCAACCATCCTGCTCAGCTGCAGGCTGCTCACTGCAAAAGGCTTTTCTCCAGAGGAATGACAGGATCTCACTGTGTGGAGCCTGATCCTGGCAGCCTGAGATGCACCTGCCTCTWATTCGTATCCTCAGCTCAACATTTGCTTTACAATGGAATTATCAGAAGACTCCATTTTTTAATGAAATCAGCCCAAGTGGCCACTCAGGCTCTTCCCAAGGCATGTCCATGTCCCACCAGGAACACAGAGGAAGATGCATCTGCACCTGGAAAAGCCCATCCTGGTTTGTCTGCATCTGATCAACAGCATAACCTCCAAAATCTGAATGCTTCTTCCAGGAACAGGGAACTCTGCTCCCAGAAATGCTGCTTCTGTGCCTGAGCAGGGTGAATGCTCTGACATGAAAATCACACATGAATATGATGTGATAGGTGAAAGGTGGATTACTGAGTTCACTGACCTGCTGCCAAGGAAGTATAGAGAAGGAATTATTCAAATACTTCTGCATTTTTCTAGGAGCTGTTTCCTGGGCAGTATGTACTCCAATGGATGTTGTGAAAAGTCGAATTCAGGCAGATGGAGTTTATTTAAACCAGTACAAAGGGACCCTTGACTGCATGGTGCAGAGCTACCAGAAAGAGGGCTTAAAAGTAAGTGATACTTGAAGTAAAATGTAGTTATTCAGTATTTAATTTTCAGCTGGGAAATACAGTGGCTATTAAAAACCTATCTGCAGGGTTGAGAGGCAGCTGCAGCCAGTTCATGCTAAATTATTATAATGGCAGTGGGTAATTACAGTGTAGATTSCTTCTAAATCAAAATAGTGAGAGTGATAATGCGTGTTACATAACGAAGAAATGAATGACTGGGGGTCACAGACTGCTGATGTAATTATCTTCAAACAACACTTCATGTTAGTGCACTTAATCATGGATATAATTTGACTTCCCATAAATCAGAGGTAGAAAGTCTTACCTCCATGATTGCTGCTACGAAATGCAGAGGTCGAATGTTTCCCATTGATTTTGGTGACAATGAACCRATTCCAGTGGGACTGGGCTGGCACCCTGGGTGTGTCTGGTCACCTTGGGCAATGCTTTGGTGGAACCAGTGCTGAGTTTTGCACTGCTCAYCCTCATTTTGCACCAAGATAGAGGTGATTGTAAGGGTTCTGAAATCAGAATTCCTTYCGTTTCAAACATGAAGAAGGGCTGTGTGCCAAAAATCTTATCTCCATTTTCTGACTTTGTCTGTTAGCGTAATAAAAGATATTTGTTTTACCTTCAAACTTTGCCTCAGTTAAATTTGAATGGCAGAGAACAAGAGTTTGCAGCTTTGTTGCATTGCCAAGGCATGGTTCTGGAAGCAACATCTTCTGATAGTGAAATAAACTGTATTTATTATCAGAACATCATGTCAGCTCTTAGCTCCAAAGTGTTAATTTTCACATTCTGAAAATGAGAGATTGCAATACCTGCCTTGTGCATTCCACTTGGTGTGCTTTCACAGTAGGGTGGCTGGAATGGAAATTTCCATGTGTTTGCCCTTCTTTGCCCATCCTCATCCTCATCCTCACCCTCTGCCCTCCTTGTCCTGCCTGAATTAACAACTAAAAGGGTTTTGTGTTGGAGTTCTGAACTTCTTGCAGTTTTTCTGCCACCACACCTGGCACCTGCCCCAAAGCTGTCAGGAGGGTTGAGTAATAGCTGATGGCAAGACTGGATCCTGCTCTTGTAAGGAAAATCTTTTCAAATGTTGAGACACTCACAGCTGACAAATGGCAAAGCCAGGGCTGAATGTTTTTATTCTGGGACAAAGGAACAGCACTCTCAGTGCTGCAATAACTGCCTAATGCACACAGAGATATGTAACTATAACCCTTGTCTTYCTCCATAGCCAGGTGTGTTCATTCTGGTCAGAAAAATTTATGCCTCTGGACTTTTCATCTTAAATCATCATTATTATTTAACTTGGCTGTCTCGTGTTACTTTATGAATAAGGCAAAAACATTGAATTTCCTCCCAGAAACCTCTCTTTCTTAACAAAATAAAACATCCCAATAAATCAAATAATATCCTAAATGCCCCAACACTGTATTTTGACATTGCAAGCTCTGTCTAAACTATGTGAACATATTTTGATTCTGTGTCATAYAAGTCAGCACTATGCTTTGGATTTATTTGATAGGATACAAGGTATGACGGTGTCTAGCACACTGCAGTAATTTCAGGGGGAAAACTGGTTAGACACTTAAATCTATAGGCCTCTGGTCTTGGAGCAAAGATTTTCCAAGGTTTCTTGCAGTAGCTGTGGGAACTTGGCCATTGTAAACCCTAAAAAGGGGCTTGATTGATGAAGTTCCTTTTCATTTCTTTTCTGAACTTGTGTTGTTTAGATAGTGACCGCGGTGATGAACTTTGGTGGTTAATTTGTGTGAGTGATTTTGTGAGAAACAGGCCAGCAGAGATGCTCCCTGCAGCCATCACCTTGTGAGCAGGCTCACCCCAGAGTGAGCAGTTTGTGCTCATCCTTGCACACACCAGGGAGTGCTGTTTGTAGAGAGGGGGCTCTAAGGGACCCCAACCATGGCCAGGAGTCAGGAATGACAAGACCCCTCCCCACTTCCCAAAAGCACTTTTCTGTTCAAGCACTTAAAAGCCACATAGTCTTTCACTCTTGTACATACCAGCATATTTGAAAAAGAAATATATTGAGCTGAATAAGGAAATCTGGAAGCTGATATTTATTATCTTACTGAAAGAAAGTCCTGGGTTATGTGTGGGTACCAAAGTTTGACCTTAGGAAGACACATGTGAAAATATCAGCTTCTACTGAATATTTTTTCCCAAAGGCAGTAGTGAGAGAGTTCTCAKCAAGGTACAGAGGAAGCCTGGTTTTTACCTGGTTGAAAAATTCCTTCTATGCTCAAATGTAAAACCTGAAAAATAGTCCACGTGGCACAGTGCCTGCACGGCTGGGCTGGCTCGAATCCACACCTCTCCCTCTCCGCTTACCAAATGTCTTCTGTGCCCTCAGACCCAGCCCTGGGGCTCAGAGCATTTCCTGCATGAAAGCAGAGCTTTCTTGTACCCTGGGGTTTGCTGATCCCTATGTGTTTATGTGTGCAGAGGGAAGGAAGGCCAGGTGGGACAGGGCTTGGAGCAGTGTGGTCTAGGGGAGGTGTCCCTGTCCACGGCAAGGACTGAGAACAAGGTGAGCTTGAGGGACCCTTCCAACCCGCAACACTCTGTGGGGCTGTCACTCCATGATTGTGGTTAGGTAGGACAACACTTGAAGATATTTTAGATTTTTTGCTTTTCATGAGAGCAGTTTTTACCCTTTAGCTCTTGTAGGTCTGGTTGGTATCAACAGCTGGGGGTTYCACAGGGAGCACAGTGACACCAAACCCGTGACTTCTGCCACTGCAGTCCCGTCTTCCAGTGCAGACTTCGGCTACGACCAGCCGTGGGAGTGCATCTTCTGAGCAAACTGAAAACATCCCACCATGACTTCATTCAATGTTTTCTTCCTCTTCTTGAAATAGCCAGTGCATTCCTATGCTCTAACCTTTCTCCATCCCCCACAGGTCTTTTTTAGGGGCCTCATGGTCAATACACTGCGAGGATTCCCATCGAGTGCAGCCATGTTTCTTGGCTATGAATGTTCCCTCAAAGCAATGAAAAGGTGGCAAACTGAGACTAATCCTTAACTTCCAGGTCAGCACATAAAGACCCTCTAGCTTTATTAAAATGACAGAATTAATCTTTTAATCAAGTAGAATCACAATTGTATAGATCCTCTGAAAGTCATAYAACTTTCAAGAGTAACTACACCTGAATAGCCAAACACAGTTTGTGTCTGGGGGATTCAGWGCAGACAGAAAATGTGCCAATGGATTTTAGTTTCAGTCCACAMCTCCTGGAGCTTCACTGTAATCTACTCTGATTGTCATGATTTTTTTTTAATTAATATCAATCAGAAATGAAAATTTGAAAAGAGATTCTAATATTTTGTAAGTTTTGAAATACAATTTTGACTGTATTCCCTGCACAGTATTCTTTCATCCCTTGTTCCATCCACAAAGATAAGAAATTAATATCTTTCAAAGTGCTTTGACTATCAACTTGATGTTTCACTCTTTCCCTCATTAACTTAGAGTTGCATAAAGGAGCAGAATTAAAAATACCTGATTAAAGAAACTTTTTCAGCAGCTAGATACTCAAGATTTTTCTTGGCAGTCTTTTTATTGCTCTTTTCTGCAATACTTCATAAATCTCCTTCTTTYTTATTTCAAAAGCGTTGCCAAGAAGACCAGAAAGTCTCCTGCTTCCCTGAGCCAGCTCAGCAGTGTGGTGTTGGTGAGGGCTCAGCTGCTCTGACCGAAGATTCCCACCCTGCACCTCCAGCAGCTGCTGTGGACACTTGGTCTGTGGAGGACTCTGAGGATGGCACCATCTCAATCAAATCCAAAGACTATTTTATCATCAAATCTTCCACTCTGTTGGCTAAGAAAACCCTTAGTAATTCCCRTGGTGGTGGTAGGCTTTTTCACCAATGACATTTTTTTTCACTGAGCCAGGAAAAAGCTTCTTCCCTTTCCTAAGGGTTGTACCCAAACCCAGCCCATTTCACATCACCACGGGAGTGTCCTTTGTACAACACAGCGTTGTAACACTCATCTCTTTTGTGAACAAGGAAAGGAGGAAATGTGGTGGGTACACAGGAGCTTCTTCTGCTGGAAGGTCTGGATTCCCATCAAATCCTAGCTTGCTTTCAGGTTTGAAGAAGTGGGTGACTCCTTCCACACAAATACTCATGTTCTACATCAGTTTGCCATAATTTAACAAATTATCATGAAAAATGTGGAGGGCTTCAACAACTTCAATGTGTTATCCGATGCATAAACTAAATCGGGAAGGAGGAGGATGTTAAATTCAGAGACTAAGCTGCTTTTTTTTATACAGAAAACAATAAAACAAGTCTGCATTTCATACAGAAGGCTGCCTATTAATTTACAGCTCGCCTGGTGCAGCCCTCCAGGGAGCTGCTCGAGGCATCTCATTGGACCTTCTGAGCTCCCTGACCCGATTTGCCAGCTGCCAAATCCTACAGACATCKCTGCAGCCTTGAGCAGACCATCACCAAAGGAAGTCTCTTTAGGACACAGAGTATTTCAGGACTCCAGCTCTTTGCTGCTAGCCCACTGAGACCAGGCCCAGTCTCTCTTTGGTCTACCTCAGCCTCTCAATTATTCCAACATCTTTTAYATCATGATTACTTCTGTTTATGCTGTTCAATATCCTGATGATTTATTTTCTAAGCATGGAGCTTTTGATGCCAAAGTCCAGGAAGAATCAGCTTTGCTGGGAGAAGAGGACTCTGGTGGTACTGGCAGGAGAGGCCAAGGGTTTCACATGGCATGGTGGAACAATCTAGGTCAACACTGTCATCAGGAAATGTTCTAGAGGAACAGTTTTCCTCTGGAGAAGAGCTCTGAGGGGAAAGCCCAGTGACTGCAGTTTTAGCAGATGCCTTCAAAAATGGTTTCTGAAGACAATGTGGAGTTGTTGTTCAGCTCTCCTCCATAAAAGAAGCAGAAGGAAATTCCTACGTCCTCTTCCCTGTATGGATGGAGGAATTGGTCACAACACTTGAAGATCTCAGCTGGAAGTGCCTAAAACTTTGGGTCTGGAGCAGTGTTTGGAAATGGGGTCACCTACTTTGGGCTCCTCATCACTGGGGCTCAGAYTAAAAACAGAATGTGTGTGCTCCCAGAACTGGCCCTAAAATGTGGAACAAACAGCTCATGTTGCTTCATCTCAGGACTTGCCTGTGTGACGGCTCACAGTGCCTTTGACCTCCGTGAGAACTGTTTTTGATAAACAATATGGATAAAATTGATGAGCCTTCACACAAGTATTTGTTGCTGGCTGCATTAAAGGATTCATCCTTTCCATGTTGTCTGTTTTAATGCGTGCATGTCAAACATGTTTTTCAAATGGATGATATCATATCTCCATGGATAATACTTGGCCAGACTATTTTTTAATGAAAATAAATGGTGCATTTATCTGCCTGAATAATGTAAAATGGACCATGAATTAATTAAACTGATGAGTTCACAACAAGCCATATATGTKCATGATCCTGCCCTCATGGTGCCCAGGTTCAATCCACTCAGTGCTCTCTGAATAGAAAGCCCTGAGACCCTTGTTGGAGTTGCACAGTGATATTTCATTAAAATATTCATTCAATTAAGCCAGTTTTGAGATGGGTGCCCAGGATTTGCCTGGACAAAACTCTTGTGTAACACACACCTGCCAGAAAGAACTATCAGGGACAGCCATGGGCTACCTGGTGTGGARAGGGAGCAGAGGGCAGAAAGCTGCTCTATAKAATAKAAATATATATAACATAAATATATGTAATAWAAACAYAAAAACATGAAGAGCAAGTGGGAAGTTAATATAAAGCTTTGGCCACTTGATGGCATCCTCATTCCCTGGCAGGGCATGTGCTGCTGGCTGGAGCTGCCAGGCAGCCCCCCGTGTCTTGTTCCATTCCACTCCAAACCCAAGCCTGCTGCCAGACCAGAACACATTCCCCACACTGGACAGCCTCTAGGTGATTTTGGGGTGACTCTGCCCTGCCAAAGGCTGCCCTGTCCAACAGCCCTGGACAGATTAACTCTGGTTAATCAGTKCATCGCCCTGTTRGTGTTCACAGACAAACCACRGGAGAGGCAAAGCMACTCCAGGCTACAGCACGAGGGTCTCAAGGGTGATGGCAGCACAGCCCACCCATGAAGGAGRTCWGGCTGCCTCTGGGTCAGACCCACAGGGGTCACCAAGGATGTCTTAGGGTTGGGACAAGGAGATTTTGAGGCACAGCACTCWGTGATACCCCTCRCTGTGACTGATCAAATCCCYGGAATGCTCAAGGCCAGGTTGGACAGGGCCTTGGTTTGGGGGAAGGTGTCCCTGCCCATGGTACGTGGGCTGGAAAGAGATGAGCTTTAAGRTCCTTTCYAACCCAAACCCTTYCATGGTTCTATGATCCCTGCACACAGAGCCTGATGGCCAGTTCAGCCTTGCTTTTGCAGTAGTGAGTGCGTGGCTGTGTCAACAATGAAAAAAGTCCAGTGGTGCTGGGGGTGAGTGACACCACAGGGGGATCAGCCCCATGTCCCAAAGCTGAGGGATGGCAATTGCAATTTGTACACACAGAGACTTGATGGGTCTGTGCCTCGTGAATAATCTACTTTACGATATATCAAATGCATTGATTTTTGGAAATAATATCAGCATCATTATCCATGGATAGAAATTAGGATCTCTAAAGTATTTTTTAGGGACTCGGTGATAAGAGTTTAAAACATAACTTTGCCTGGCAGGCAGGCAGACACACAGCTGACAGYGGGGCACTGATTACACATGTTGGTRATTTTGTCTCTGAATTACAAAAAAGAAAACCCCTGTGTCAACAGAATTGAGTCCATGGACCAGCTCCCTGTCAGTGCTCTGTCTGTACTGACTGCCATCAGTGGCACGCTCCACACACATGCTGGAGTGGTAGAAACCATCTGCTTGATAACTTGTTCAAGGTGCTTACAGAGCCCCTYATTTCTGAAATAAATGCAGTAAATCCTGAAATTGTCAAAAAATGAGAAGGGACATCAAAAGGATCAGAGATACCTACTTCTATGTGTTTGTTTCCTGGATTATGAAAGCACATTCAGATCTGTCATCCCTCAAATTAGTCTATAATTGCCCAACTTTCATATCTCTGGTGGCATTCCAGCTCTTACAACAGCCTGTATTACTTAATGACATGCTGGATGTTTTTTGCACTTAATACACTATTTAGTACTATGGAAGCAAAAAAAAAAAA